GGCCCAACCCTGGGATCTCTTAAGTCTCTTAAATTTCTCTTGTGATGATGTGGCTTGAGCAGGACGGAGGAGCTCTAAAAGCCAGGCCTTTCTTCTTTTTCTTCCACGGGGCCATCCGTGCCGCTGCCCTGAAGTGGCAGGGTGCAGCTCAAGAAGGGAGGTCACCGCTCTTGGCTTCAGCAACCTCTTTTCCTGCTTTGTTGACAGTTCCTAATAACACTACTGGCATCAGGAATTCACAGACACAGGAAGGAAGAGATGTATCTTTAATGATGGAAAAATATGAGCGCACAATGCCCTTAAAATAGAACAAGTGTGCCTCGCCTTTATTCTGGGGACTTTATTGTTGCAACCGCTTCTCCTGGGACACACCATGGGAGGCTTTTTCCCCTTTGGTGAAGCAGAGTAATTGTGTAACCTGAGGTGTCCCGCGAGAGAGCCAAGGGGATGATCTCAACATGCAGGTTTCTGAAACATTGCTGCATTTTGATGGGGATTAGGGCGCCATTAGAACCCTCCTCTCCAAACCCCCATTTCTGTAAAGTGAGCATAACCCCACCTGTGCTGCTCACCGCGTGAGGCTGTGTAAGGATCCAGGGAGAGGATGCACAAGATTATGTCTACAGATGTGCAAACACAGCAGATGAAAACGGCCATTGTTGGTGAACAGAACCTGACTGAGAGTGGAGAGCTCAGTGAAGTAGCTACCCATGTTGATTTTGAAGGGTGCTCCCGAGACCTCTATGATCTTATCATGCAGTGTTACTTCATAAATAAGAATAATGGGCCTCCCCGGTGGCGCAGCAGGTTGAGCGCAGTGCTGTGAAACTGTCGGCAGCCTCTGCAGTGCAGTTTTGATTCCTGGCCGGCCAGGGAGATACCCACATGGCGCAGCAGACCTCTCCTGTCGCGCCCACTGCTCCCCTCAGCAGTGTCTTCAGTCGTCTGCCTGTTCTGTTCCCCGCTCTGTCTCTGGTGAATTCTCTCACCCTCCCATGCCTCTGGCCTGTATCCAAGTTCTTGTATAAATAAAAATAAAATCTTTAAAAAATAAGAAGAATAAGTAAATCATCGTCGTCACTGACAACTGCAAGTTCTGGGATACCATTCCACACTTCATCTTGCATGATGTAAGCTTTTGCCCGTGTTGAGATTCATATCTCGTGGCACATCTAGACAGGGCCTAGATCTGCTCAACGTTCAGTATGCACTTTTGAGAACAGATACCAAGGTTGCTGAGATGAACCCACTTCCTCATCTCCCCCGCCTCCCACTATGGCAAAGGCAATGGTCATGATGAATAGGGGAAAGAGGAGCTTTTGGCTCTCAGATTGATTTTTTATCATCTTTCTCATTTTAGGAGCCTCCCTGCCCCCGGAGGTCCTGCTTGAGTTCCTTCTGCATTGGTTTCCTGGCGTTTGGCACTGTGTCCAGTGTCGCCTTCATTTCTTTATTTTTTTTCCTTTCTGAAAACCACCAATAAAAAAAGTACTTCTGGTTTAATGGTCACCTACTTTCCCCTTCATTACGTCCCCCTATTTGGACAGTTATTGAGCCTGGGAGCGGACCAAGACTTGCTCTGGGGATGATGATAATGATTCTCACGGGAGTCTTCTGTCTGAAGGTGATTAGGGAGAACAAAAAAGTTGCTCACCAGTCACTGTCAACAGGCTGTGAGGGACCAGTGTCCAGGCTTCTCTGCACAAGTCTTGGTTTTCATTTCTGAGACTAGTTAATGAGAGTTCACTTTTGACCAGAAAGTGCGGAGGTGCCACCCATATGTCATCAGGATCAGGGGTGAATGACTTCCCAAAGGATCAGCTTTCAGCAAACATTTGGGACATTTTGGGTGTTAGACTCGAGAGGAGCCAGCCTGGTAATAGATTTTCGTGCACATGTGTGCACCCATGTATTTGCACAGGGGGGGGGTGGGGAACCCCTCGCCACTCAGCTGCCTCCCTTGATTTGCTCAAATTTCATTCCATTTGCTAGAGGGACATCTGCACATTTTTTGCCCAGCCACATTTAATGCACATCAGTTCAGCCCTAAGCCTCTATTGAGGTCAACCGCCCCCCACCTCCAGGCATCCCAGGGGGTTAGAGCTAAGGACACACAATACTCTAAATGGAATACTGAAGATCCCCATCTGTCTGGCAGTCCCGATCAATAAATGTGAGCTGCCTTTCCTTCCCAATTCTGTACAAGAGAGACATCACCACCTGGTTTAAAGACAAGCAGGCGTGTGATGTGGGTTTCTAAGGGTTACCAAGTCCAAGCACCCAGCTGTCACAGTGCTCAGCCAGGAAGAAGATTATGCTCTTAATCATGTTATTTTGTTACTAAAGGGTTCTTTTAAATCGCCCTCACCCCTTTCCCTGAAGCAAAATCTTCCAGTGTCTGAAATTGCAGGTGCCTTTCTAATGCTATTATTTCACTGGCTGAATGACTCTTTTGGAAAGAGCTTTGTTCAGGCTCTGTGGTTCTGGGGCATCTTGCTTGGCTTCTGCCAACTTACAAGGTTGGACAGCAAGACCTGTTTATGTGTATGTGACAGAGCACTGAAGGAGGACAGGCATGCCCAAGGTGCTGCCTCTGGCCCTGGGAACCACGTAGCCTGTTGACTGATTTGGGACAGTCCATCTTCAAGACCAACAGCCTAAACATGCCCTGCAGAAGCCTCCAACCCTGTAACAAACAAGCAAACACAGCAATTAAAAAGCTGGGTTGTCTAAGCAGGGGTGTCCTTGAGGCCACAGCTAAAATACAGACTGTCGCCTCTTCCCAGACCGGAACTAAGCTGACTCAGCAAAGGCGCCTCCCTGTAGTATCAGGTATCAGGTGGCACCGAGTGACTGTCTACTTCACACCGCTGAGATTTGAGCTCCTGCCCACCCCCTCATCTTGGCACAGATGAAGGACTAGGGTGCCCACTTGTACCTTTGCACACAATAATAGCCCTTCTGCCTGGGATGGCTGTCCAGAACTCACTCTATACAAATCTCCTCAAACCTCTGGCCCCAAATCTTGGGGGTACTTGTTCCCACCTCTGAATGACGATTACGGAGACCATGTCCACCTCCCCTGATAAATAAGGAGGCGTGTGAGAAAGGAGGGCTGGGTGAGTTGGAGATGCCTCTGGGCAAAGGGGCTGTGGGGCCTCCTAGCTCCTGTTGCTCTCAGGATATGAAGGAATGGAGTAAGAGACCACGAATTTGTGGGCTGTGGACAAATCCCTTCCCTCAGTGGATCTCAGCCTCTCTACTTTTTAAAAATGATAGGGTCAGCATTTCCCTGATTACAAGTGATGTTGAACATTTTTTTCATATGCCTGTTGGCCATTTGCACTTCCTCTTTGGAGAAGTTTCTTTTTAGCTCTTCTGCCCAATTTTTGACTGGGTTATTTACTTTGTTTTGTTGAGTCTCGTCAGCTCTTTGTAGATTTTTGTGATCAGTCCCTGTGGTAGGAATTTTACGGGGACTGTAACCAAGATGAAAATGCATACGTCGTACAAAGATGAAAAATGATGTAAAAAATATTTTTTTAAAAAATGATCGGGTTGGAGTAGCTACTGTGCATTTTCTCAGTTACGCGTTTAGATAAAAGTAAGGCAAACCCTATCAGTCACATAAGAAGGATGCTCTTAAGGCTGGCCAAAGGGATGACTGCAGGGCTAATTCAGTTATTTCTTCCAGAATCTGAAGTGGAATGGAGTGTTGTTTCCTGGTGTTACTTCCCCCTCCTTGGCCTGTGACTGGTCTCATTGCCTGGCAGCCCAAGGCCTTTACAGAAGCAACCCAGTTTCTAAGTCACTGCCAGGCAGCTCTCTAAAGCACACACATACATCCTTACTGCTGCGCCGCTGCTTATCAGTTAGGCCCTGAGCCCATGGTAACCAGGTGAAGCCTGAAGCCCCTCTCCTAGCCTTGCCTTGCCAGGCTCTCTGAGATCCTGGGCACACAAAACTCTAGATCCTCTGTTTCCTGAACCCAGCACACTTGCACCTTTGCACACAATAATAGCCCTTCTGCCTGGGATGGCTGTCCAGAACACACTCTACACAAATCCCCTCAAACCTCTGGCCCCAAATCTTGGGGGCACTTGTTCCCATCTCTGAATGATGATTAGAGAGACCATGTCCACCTCCCCTTATAAATAAGGAGACGGGAATTACTCTAGTCGAATTTGTGCGTGACAATGCCTAGCCCTTTGGGTGGAATTCAAGAAATACCACTAGAGATGACTTGTCAAAACATGACCGAGCCACTGTAGGTGTGAGGTGGGGCCCGACCCTCATCTTCCCATGTCCTAACAGACCTAGGAAACATTGAAAACTGAAAACTATTTCATAAGGCCCAAAGTAAAATACTGTCACGGAGGGCTTTTTTAAGTAACTGTTTGAAAAATGTCCCAGAAGGAAGAACCTGGTCGTGGCATTTCACAGAGCTGTTTTGCAAAATAAAAATCAAGTGCTGAATCCCGATACACCTCCAACCAAGTCTTCTGGGTTACAAGATAAATGCTAACAAGGAGTAAAATCCAGCACCCTCCACCTTATTAATATGCAAAAAGGCTGAAGTCACATCTGTGCAAGCACCTATTTTTAGTGGACCCTACATACTAAAATCCTAGCCTTGATCTCTTAAACTATCAAGCCTACCATAAATGTTTGATGATGAACAACCCATAAAAAGAAAATGCATAAAATGAATAGACGGAGTCAGTGCGTGCTCTGCCTTTTAATTATTGCTTCAGTCCTGCTCCAGGCTGGGTGCAGGCAGAAAACACACATCAAAGGTGTGTGTGTTGTGTGTGTGTGTGTGTGTGTGTGTTGGGGGGGGGGTTGGGGGAGCAACAGGGTGTATTGCAAACAAATAGGCCTAGCTGCTTTGTTGTTGATACTTGAAGCCAGTTAGAGATGGAGTAAAAAGGAGGGTCTTGCTCAAAGAGGGCATGGGGTTCAAAAAAGGGAAACACTAAGTGATAAATAAAAGCATTCAGGACACAGACAATAATGTAGAACAGTCTTGTTTTATTACTTTTAAGTAATAAAGAGCCTTTTCCTTGGTGCTTTTTTTTTTTCTTTTCTTTTTTTTTTTTTCTTTTTTACAACATACATTAAGTTGTGAATCAGATGTTAGGGGATGTGGAGATGAAGGAAAATCGGTGACATCACAATATTTTTACAACTTTACAACAAATATAAATCTGAGTTTGTTGCATCTACCAATGTCTAGCAAGGGTGGAAAGCAAAGGCACACTCAGGTTTATGGACCCCCCCATACACAGGGGAAAAAAGAAGAGGAGAAAAATACTTAAATGCAGAAGCCCAGCTCAATACATGGGTTAACACCGCAAGTGATGGGTGGTGGAAAGTAGGGGCCCGGGATGGAAGTTTTGACACGGGTCTCAACATGGCCAAGGCGAGGCTGCCCACAGGGGCACAAAGCGCATGGGCACATGCTGTGACTGTTCTAGGAGTCATCCTTGGGGGGGGGGGACAAAGGGGGTGGTATCTCCACCCCTTCCTCTGTTTGCATTTAAAAAGAAAAGGGAGATAAAACTGGTATCTCGGTTTCTAGAACAGACTTCATGGTTTCAGGGCACAGAGTTCACAGGATGTGAACGCTGATTTCACCAACCAAACAAAGCAAAACAAAACAAAAACACGACACAAAAACAACAAGGCCTACCCCAAATGACAGCAAAACTGCAAGAGATGCTGGAACATCAGCAGAAGCCCTGCGCCCTGGCCACACACCCCGGCCCCACCCGTCGGTGAGGTATCCCTTTGATTAGCCAGCTCAAAATTGTCTTTTTTGGAAGGCTTTTTTTCCCCCCCTCTAACAAAACAAAACTAAACTAAGCCCACAAGAGCAAACTGGAAATAGAAAGAGACAAAGAGGCACCCAATATACTGTTTAACCGTTTAAAAAATACAATAACAACCAACAACAATGCTCATAGATTACAGTATGTTGACAATTCTTTTGTTCAGGATAGAGTAAACAAAAATCCCTCTGTGCGCTTGAGCTAATGAAAACCGAGGGGAAGAGAAACACACACACCCCAGCCCTCCCCCCAACAAACAAAAACAAGAAAAGGATAAAGAAATTAAAAAAAAAAAAATGAAGATCTCTTGCCCCCCAGTTTTTACCACGCCCACTGTGGCTGGCCTTGGACTTGGAGTTACTCGTTAATCTCAGCAGGGACCAGCCTGCCTGCATCTATTTCCATGTCATTTCTTTGTGTGCAGGGCACGTGTGTGCCGAGCACATGGCTTGGAGACCCCGCCCAGCGCCTGCCCGGCCGCACGGTGTATCCTCCAGCAGAGGGACACAGCAGAAACGAAGACTGGACTAGTAGTCCTGTCCTCCTTCCGCTGGTTAACATGAGAATATCACCATGTTGAAATGATCTGAGACTATAAAGGGAGAAAAGGGGATTTGCCACCCACAACACTGGGGTCCATGCTTGGTGGCACGGTCAGAGGGTGGTTCGAATTGGCACGACTAGAAGGGAGTGTGACCTGGAGGGTGTGGTCTGGAGGGTGTGGTGCGGCCCTGCTTTCCCAGGCTGTGGGAATTAACCATCACCATCGCCCGCCTTCTTCCATCTGTTGGACACTGATCTTCCAGCGGGCTGGAGCAGGGGTGGAGGGCGGGAGCGTTAAATAAATATCTGCATTTATTTCAAAAGGGCAAAGAAGTTGATCATAACGACAGTTTACAAGCATACACAACTCAGGGTGTAAGGCACAAATTTACATGTGGAAAACAGGCTATTCACAGATGTAACCCCACGAAAAACCCGTGTGATCAAACCATTAATTTATGCAAGGTAGCAGCCAGCATATTAATTAGTTCACACCGTTTGTGGATTTTGTTTGCTGTCTCACATGCAAGGTGAAATGAGATGGTGTATCACAAGCTGGTGCCTTCACAGAAAGTAGGAACCACTGACAAAGCCACACTGGCAGCAATGGACACGGATGTGCCACCCTAAAAGTTCCTCTCCTGGTTGCTTTAGAAATTCGGCTCTGGAAGGACTTATAACCTATTATTATTATTTATTCATTTATTTTTCGTGTTGTCGGCCAGAAATCTGGCCATCAAATTAACTGGTAGATTGAAATAAATATTCCCCTCTTAACTTTTTCCGTTAGCTAGAGATCAGAGAGTCCCAACACAAAGCTCAGAATTCCAGCTCCAACTTATTTACTAAGTGAATTTATTGTAAAAATAAAGAAACTCAATTATTCCAGTTAATGGATTTCACGTTAAATAGTTGAACTTTTTCAGTGGCCTTTCTGAAGAGCTGTTCATAAAGATAGCATGTGGAAGAGTCCTTTCGGGAAAAACAAGAGTGAACAATAAATAAAGAGTTACTTGCGTTAACGGTCACGTTATTTCATTAAAAGAAGGAGCAGAAACCTATGACATCGTGGCCCAACTGGCATCATCTGCTAGAACAGAAAGCTGTAACACTGGCGGGCATTTCACAGTATCTGCGCATAGTAAACTTCTGCCATTGTTAAAAGTCTGAGTTAGAATTATCAATGAATTCTTTATTTTTTTGTCTTTTTAATTTTCATCATTTTAAAAAATGTATCTGTTCTGAGGGTTGGAAGGCTGGCCCTGTTTGGCAGCGCCCCGTGCAGTCATGGACAAAATGTTGCATTTACTGTTCACCTCTGTGTGTGTGTGTGTGTGTATGTGTGTGTGTGTGTGTGTGTGTGTGTGCGCACGCATGCGCACACATGTGCACACGCTCGTGTGTGTGTGGGGGGGGGTGGGTATGTGCTTTTGGCTCATGTTTGTGATAAGTCTTTTGTGAGTCCAACCTGTTGCAAGGTGTAGGGGGGGAGAGAAGGTAGAGTATGGAGGTGAGTCCGTTGCAAACTTTCACCAAACCACTTGGCCCGATTTTCACGAGCACCCCTGTGTCCGGGAGGGGAGGACCCGGAGGCCTCGGCGCAGTCTGGCCGTCTTGGTCTGGTGGGTACTCAGGCGCCAAGCTGAGCGGGCAACTCGCCTTTCCTGCTGGTTCGACCCCTGGCCCCTCCCCCTGGGATTATGTACACGCATCATTAGGCTTCAGGGATGTGGTAAGGGGAGCAAAGGAGGGTTTGGGGGGGACGTCCGGCTTTAACGAGGGTGTGCGCTTCAGCCCCGACCTGCTGAGTGAGTTGTAGGCGTTGAGGCTGGGCTGCCTCGACACAGTCACCGCCTGGCCCGACGGCTGCGAGCTGTGCACCTGGATAGAGTCCACCCTCTGCGGGGCGGGGGGCGGGTTGTCTCCCCGGCCAAAGCTTGGGTTTCTGGAGAGGTGGGAGGAATTGGAGGAGTTAGTATTATTTCTTTTGAGCGTGGTGGCCGGGTGGCTTCTCGTGAGCGAGTTCGTGGGGTAGCTGCGTTTGTAGTCCAGCCCGTAGGAGGAGGAGTGGTGCATCTCCAGCCGCTTGCTCAGGCCGTTCTGAGACAGGGAGGCTCCCGGAGGGCCCAGGGAGGCCTCCCGCTGGGGGACTTTGGGGGGCAGGCTGTCCAGGTTCTCCACCAGGTTGACCCCGTGGTTAGGACTCTTGCTGCTGAGGTGCTCCTTGATGGTCTTGTACTCCAGGGTGGCGGCCTGGTCCTCCAGCACCATCTGGGCCACCTCGCTCATTTTGGGCTGGTCCACATACTCATGCTGGTAGCCCTGCTGCGTGATGGGCAGCACCACCACGCTGGGGATGTGGCTGGGGGAGGCCCGGAGGGGCAAGTCCGTGGGGATGACAGGGGAGCCCATGGGGGGCATGTCCTTGGTGCAGGCATTGATGAGGTTCTGGTTCCTCTCCCACTCGCGGCTGCCACGGCTGGGCTTGCGCTTCTGCTGCAGCGTCGGGGTGGACTCGGGGGTGGGCAGGGCTGCCAGGTCGAGGTGGTGCTGGTCGGCCTTGATGAGCATCTTGGCCGTGTTGCTGGGCGTGGCCAGCTTGCCATTGTGCATGAGAGGCGTGAGGATGGCCTCCGGCTTGGGGTCCTTGGATTGGGCGTCCCCAAACAGGCCGCTGAGCTTGGTGACGCTGCTCATGGAGCCCCGGCGCGAGTGTGTCAGCTCCTTCTCCTTGCGCTGCACCGCCGACACGTCCTTGCGCCGGTGATCACAGACGCAGTAGACAATGATGCCGGAGAAGACAGCTCCCATGACGAAAGCCAGGATGACCGCGATGGCCAAGAGCGTGACGGGAACAAGCTGGTCGTGGCCTTTGAGGTAACTCTCCCGAATCACTCCTGCAACAGACATCGCATATGGCGTTAAGAAATGAAAGCACACCACCAGCCGTATTTTTGTTTGGCCTTCACCCTGTTAATTAATAACAGTAATAAGTGACAATAGCACCTCTTCGAGGCGCAGCTTGCCAAACATGAACTAATTAATCCTCGCAGCCCCCCAAGTATGTAAATGGACTTGTTTGCTGCCTGCTTTGTGTTCTGAGAAAGCACTTTTCCTCTGGCAGTTACATGCGCTTTCTGCTTTGCTTTGCTGTGTGCGTGAGGGCAGCCAAAAATGCCTCCCTCTTCATCTTTTGGTTTTGCAACGTTCCCTTCGCAGAGTCGGGATAACAGATATTTTGAGTCAGAGGGAAGAGGCAACAGTTTTCTGCCTGTTAAATGAACAAATCACACAACTCTCCTGGACCCCCAAGGTCTTTTTTTGATGACTTCCTTGTGGGCACCATCGCCTCTAGCTGGAGAGAAACTCTGTTTGCATTTCAAGCAATTAGAGGAAAGAAAGCGAGTTTCTTACAATGAAAGAAAACAGCTCAAGTTCACAGATTGCATCACCCCTCCAAAGAAAAAAGAACCACCTCTGCTCAACCGGAGGTAAATATGCTGAATGTTTGAATGAAGCTCTCTTCGTAATTGAATAGAGAATATTTGGGGGGGGGGGGGAGGCGGGTTTGGTGAGGGAAGACCATTTGGAGTCCTGTCTTGGATTTGACAAGTGTCAGGTCTCATTATTACGACGAGAGTTTGCTGTCAGGGTGAGATTCTTCAGCTGAGCTAATTTCTTCAATTTAATAAAAATTATGTGACTATACCCATCAATAATCTTACACTACATTAACCAAGAGGCTGCCGAAGAAAGTCGCTTTCCCTGTTCCTACTTAATCAGCCACCAAGCTGAGAGACTCTAATCAAACGCAAACATGGAGCTCTTATTTTTTAATACCAAGTGAGAATACACATCACAACTGTCAGATCTTAAGTGCTGGATGCGGTAGCTGAACAATAAAATCTCAAATACCTCAATTCCTGCCTCTGGAGAGTGAAGGAACATGAATACATTACAGGCCCAGCATGGGTTGAGGAATGTAAACATTGCTCCTATTATGGAAAGGCGAGTAAGACAGAAAATGTACCCTCTCTGGTCTCTGGAGACACATTTTTCATCTACTAAATCAACTCTTTCTGGAATATTTAATGTATTTTACTGGCAGATATCAGTGGTGCAGACTTACAATGAAATCGGAATAAAAATCTCCACCCCCTTCCCAAACCGACAACAGACGACCCTTAAACTTCAGCTGAAATGCTTTCTATGTGACAGCCCAGGCCTTGCAGAAATGCAGCGTTGTCTCGGAGTGTTCTGGAAAATATTCTGATTAGCGAAAGCGTGGTTTTAAAACTCAGAGGCCCTTGGCCGGAGATGACATGCTCTTTTCTCTCTAAGCTGTCCTCCAACCCCCATTGTGATGTCACAGTCGGTTGCTGTGGCAATGGTTGTCCTGTGACAAAGGATGTGACTTCAGGTGGGGACAAGCAGAAGCAGCAAGTAGCAGGAGGCACAGAGATACTGTGATGAGACAAACGCCCTCAGTAACGAAGGGCAGGCAGGCTAATCACCCCAGGGAAAAGAGCGTGTAAGGCAGAAAGACACTGAGTGACTTCCAGTGATACTTTTCAACTATTTCCAGATTTACCTTCATGAACTTTTAAGGGATAGAAACTGAGAAGCCAAAAAAAAAAAAACCCAGCAGGAAATTGAGCTATAACTCACACCTTTTATGTTTTGGAGCTCCCCAAACAGTGGGGTGTCTGCATTCAAATATGTTGTAATACCCAGTCACCCAGAACGGTGCTAATGAAAATTTCTTCCTGAAATTTGCATTTGCTTGTTGTCATGCTAAAATAGCAACTGATTTTCTTTCAATTTTGATTGTGTATGGAGTTCTATTGAACATCATTCTGAACCACCTACATATAATGGCACAAAAATGTACACCTGTGAATAAAATGGGTTTGATTTCCTTCATTGGCTTGGTGATTTTACTGAGGTCTAACACAGGCTAGACCCCCACCCATGGGAGGGATGGGTAAATGTTTTCATAGAAATGGGCATTCCATGGCTCCCTTCCAGCTCACTGTATTTTTGGGGGGGAGGTGTCCCCCTCCACCCCATCAGTGCATACTTGTAACCTCAGCAGAACAGGCACATGGGAAGGTCAGTGGTAATCAAAGGATTTGTTTCATTCACTGTTTGAGAAAGCGGCAACGTTTTCAGATTTATCGATTGCTATTTTACTTTTTGCTCCCAAACATTCTTCTTTCATGGCTGAAAGTTCTTGACGTTTTACATAGCTGGAAACCACTTGCTGTCTCACTAGGAAAAACTTTTTAGTGAATGACACTGCCCTTCAGATGTTTGGTTGTTGACAAATCAAGTGGGGTGTCACTTTGGAGGAAAATGATGTCGTAGGCAGTGTCCCCCTTTTTGCTTAGTAAATAGTGCCTTCCACATCTTTCTGCACGAGTTCAGCCTTGAGTGGTTGGCCACGGGGCAGGCAGCTTCCCTCGCCTGCCGGAGCACATCCGGAACCCATGTCCAAAGTCAGAAACAGTTCAGAAATGAAGTTGAAAGCAGTGTCAAGGAGATAGGAAGTAACAGGGATATTTTGGAAACTGCCTTCTTGGTGTAAAGCTTCCCCCTTCTATCATGAAAAGGGGCAGAGCAGCAGCCACAGCAATGGGGGAGCCAGCGCTGAGCCTTCACTGCTCTGCTGCCTGGACACGCCAGCCTTGTCAGGGCCTGGGGCAGCTCGGCCTGAGGCACCCACTGCCTGGCAGGGTGGCCCTTTGGCAAGTGCCTTAACATCTTTGGGCCTCAGTTTTGCATCTGTAATGTGGGGTCAGCCACACTCAATTTTACTGCCTTCCTGGTTTGCTATGGGCCTCCCCGGTGGCACAGCAGTTGAGTGCTGGGTTGCGAAGCTGCCTGCAGCCTTTGCAGTGCTGGTTCGATCCCGGCTGCTCCCCGGCCACTGGAGGAGGGTCCCACATGGCCATGGCACAGCAGACCTCTCCTGCCGCCCGCTGCTCCCCTCAGCAGTGTACTTCGTCAGTCTGCTTGTTCTGCTCCCCGCTCTGGCTCTGGTGAATTCTCTCACCCTCCCGTGCTTCTGACTGTACCCTGTGCTTGTATAAATAAATAAATAAATAAATAAATCTTAAAAAAAAAAAAAAAAGAAAGAATCAAATGGAAGGAAAGCACGTCAGTGCTATAGTTTGTTGGACAACTCTAAAGGTCAAAGAAACCACAGAGAGAAGCGGTGGGTTGACCCAGAGCTTAGGAGTGACAGTCACAGCTGCTCCACGGGATTTGCTGAGGGTCTTGAGGGAGGGGGACAGACCTGTCCCCCCTGTGCAGACCAAGTGTTGCAATGGGATGGCTGGGTGGGTGGTGGTGGTGGTGTAAGGGAACAGTCCCTGTGCTTCAGGACTGCCTGTAGGTCCTGAGTTTTGAAATAAGTAAAGGCAGGCAATATTGAGCACAATAGCTAAAATCAGAGTCAAATTCCTACTGGAGTAATAATGCTGCCGTCAGCTCCGTGAGGGCAGGGTCTGTGCGTTATCTGTATTTATGCCCCTCGCCATCCCCAGGGCTCTTAGGTACCTAAAAAAATGAATGGAAGTAAATATAAATAATGTGATTCCACCGAACAAGAAACTAGGAATTTAGAGTAAAAAATATTGATGTTCAAGAAAGAAATTGCAATAATGTCCCAACAATTGTTCGAGGCAGTTTTCTATGTTTTGTCACTACAAGAGAAGTGGAAATTTTGTCATTCATGATGTGTATTAAATTAATCCAAGTAGCGGAAAAAAAAAAAAAAAGTTAAACAAACGGGCTTGCCCCTGAGGCTCTGACATCAGAATGGTGGTTAGCAGAAGGGCTGGGAGGCTGAAATAGGGAGAGGGGCCGACTAGTGGGTGGTGACTGGACATTTGGGGTGGCCGTGCTGAGACTGTGACCCTTAAACCTGTACAGTGTTGTAAAATGATGTTACTTCAATTAAAACAAATGAGTTCATCGTGGAGACATTTCTAAACCAGCTCCTGAATGGGTGGGTCCTCTTGGGAGAGGCTACCGCCATGCTTCTGAAGTCACAGAAACAAAATCCTGTCCTGGAACAGAAATTGAATCCTAGCATCCACCCGAGGAAAGACATCTATAAAGGTATTCAGGACTTGTGCAAAACAATAATAAGAGAAACGATTTAAAGATAAAAAGAAATTCATTCAGGATAATTCTGAAAGAGACAACGAGGGTAACTCTGGGTTGATTCTAACGCTCAGTGCTCTGGTGGAATTAAACAATTTGAAACAAAGGCATCTCTGCCAAGTATGGGCAGGATGAGCGTCCACTGCTGCACATGGCGAATGGAAACCCTGGGGAAGTGGAAGGTGTTTGGGGTTTGCATCCCCCCCAAGTATCCCCCGCTGTCCTGGGCACAATCAGAGTGGCCTCTTCACCCAGGGGTGTTGGAATGCCTTCCTCTCAAAAGCCCTGGGCCTTTGCTCTGACCAGCTGAAAATGGGGCATTCATAATGAAAACAGTATCTGAAAAATCCTCTGCATTGATTCATTAACCGCCAGCTATTTCTCAGTAGTCATGAGGTGCTAAATGGTTATTTCTTTCCACCTTCCTATTGCAGGAAGCAAAGCACACAATGGCTTGGAGATTTCTCTGAAATCATGCCTTAAATTGGCAGAACTGAGAAAGAATAGAATCACCACTGGCTTTTTGGTGTTTTCAGAGGGACCATTTGAAACTATCTAGAGGCTGAAGCAATGAAAAGATTATGAACAGCCCCGTCCTCCAGGCCCTGCAAGATGTAATTCAAAAATAAGGACAACTGTAAAGTATAAAACCAGGGGAAGTTCGACACAGTTCTGATTATCCCAGTGAGGAACATGCCAATGCATTTAGAAATACCAGACATCAAAT